CACACACACACACACACACACACACACACACACACACACACACACACATACATATATATATAAATGTATATGTATATTTGTATGTATATGTATATATGTATGTATGTATTTATGTATTTATGTATATCTGTACACACACACACACACACACACACACACACACACACACACTTCCTGGAAAAACCATATTTGGCAAAGTTTTTCTACTAAAAATGTTGGGGTAATTAAAACCCATCCTTACTACTTCACCTTTCCTTGTGAAAATGCAGGAATGGAAATCTTGATAGAATCTGAAGCGATGGGGTGTGGGGAGAGCTGTAACCTGTTTCTGCTTTGGTTTGATATTTTCAAGCTTCCTGCTTTAAAATAAAATCTTTGAAAAGTACAAATACAGCTTTTTGATATTTCTGTGCAAATAGCAGGTATCCAATACCTAAATGCAAATTATAATTTTGCATAAATTTATAAATTTAGGGCCATATCCAAACTTTTAGGGATAAAACTTGTTTTTCAAGGAATTTAACTAATTGCCACCCTGGATTGTTCTATAATTCCAGGTCTGTTTAAGATGTCATGGATAAACTTTATAATATTTTAAATAAAATTTCCTAAGCCCCACTCTTTACATGTCCGATCTCTATTCTGTCATCTGTCTCTATTAAACAATATGTCCATTGCTAATTGCAGAACTAGCATTACAATTAATAAGCACATGCCATATTCAAGCCAAGGGGTGGGAAATGGAGATTAGCCATGACACGTATCCCAAAATCTTTGCCAAAATCATTTGGGGAGAATGGGTCAGATGGCTTTTCCCAGTACTTAGTGAGAGACAGTGGCCTGCTGAGCATGCCCTCCCCACTCGTTAAAATATATTGTCCTCAATCAATTGAAAAGAAACAGTCTTCATTAAAAATCAAGGAGCAGAATTTTGGTATTCTCCTAGCTATGACTCTGGTTATTTGGCCTTCAACTTCTACAACACTCTAGTCAACACTGCTTGGAATATATTAAAAAAAATTGGGCTATGGAATGAAAACTTTTCAAAAGAAAATCCAAGACCACAGCTGAGAAAAGCTAAGATAAATGTAGCATAATGCTTCTTTTCAAGGGTGCCTTGGTATTGAGGCTCAGTCTTTGCAAAGTCAGTGAACTATACTTTCCTGTAAGCAACCTATCCTTCCCCCTTATTAATCAAATTCTGGGATTGCTACATTTTGTGGTAGTGTTTTTGCCTTTCATGGCCCCTATAATCCATCTCTCTAGTCCCCTCTGCATTTCGCCATTTGCTGTAATCACTGCAATCTCCGGGAAAAGCCCAGATGAATTCTCAGCAGCCTGACTAACTTTTCCGGAAAGATCCAGGACAGCAGCGGCAACAGCAGTGGCCCCAAGGAGGACAGCAGCAGCACTCTAGATTGCATCTTGATAGGTCTCTGTAAGAGGTCTCTGCCATCCATAACGAGGTGTCAAATCGGGCGCCTCGACTAGGTTGGTTCCCTGGCCCTGCTTCTTTCGCAGTCTTACGGGGGAGGGGCATCCAGCTCCACACCCCACCTCCCAATTGCCCAGATGAATTGCAACTGGCTTCGGATGGATTTCTCCGCACTTGTTGCTCCCTAATCACTTTCCCCAGTGAACAGGGAAAGTTAAGGACCTTCCTGAGCAATAGGACTCTGGGAGGGACGGGACGGGAGGCTACACTGCACCGGCGCGTCGACCACCCTGTATTCTACTGGCCATTTCGACAATGCAGAGAAGTCTTCCCACACCTCGAGTTTTCGTGAGAAAAGGGAGCCAGTTTGCAGGCTTAATGTGCACAGAAAGATGATTTTCTCTCCGGAGAACATGGGGAAGGGATTACCCGCTATGAGGAAACAGTGGGTACAGTGGGTAAGTGCGCGCGCACGAAAACCACCCGCCTCCGATTCAGATAGGAGGTGGAAAGGCCAGAGACTGGCGAGAGTTTTGCGGCCAGGCGGCAAGGGACGAGGAAGGCCTAGTGGTAAAGCCGTTCCCCCTCCGTGTCAGTGCGGCTCCCGCGCCTGTCAAAATCTCGCTGAAGAGACTTGAGAAAGCAATAAACCGCATGGTGGGCGGCCTCGCCTGCAGCTTTGGGATTCTGGCGACACAAAAGTCCAGCGAACCTCACTCACAGCTCCGATCCAAAAACCAGAGAGGGGCTGGCCGGAATCCTGCTACGTTATCCTTTCGCGCCCGCTGAAAACACCGCCGAAACACGGGAGTCCCTGGATCGTCTTTCATAATATCTTGGTCAAGTCTGGCTCCAGGTTTCCAGAGAGAAGGCGCGAAAGTACGAGGCGGGTTCGGTCAAAGGGTAGAAAGGGCGCAATTAAGGGCACCAACGTTGCAGCCGCCGGGGTAGGACTCGCGCGGGGATCCGGCGACGATCCTAACAGTCCCGTTCGGCGAGCCGAGCAACTTTTCACTGTGGCGGGCAGACCAAGCTTCCTCCCACCCAGAACGCGCGCGCACCTGGCCTGCCTGACGCGGCGGTGGAAAAGGCGGTGCGCCCCACCTCCGCGCCAGGTACCCGGTGCGCGGGTTAGGCGCGGAGCGCTGCGCTGACGGATCCGGGTTCGGCTGGCTCTTGGCACGGCTAGGCTGCGGTAGCAGCTGGGGAGGATCTCGCCACCTGCCGCCCACAGCCCAGGCTCCCCGGCCCTGGACAGAAAGAGCGCGGCGAAACCCGAGGTGAGAAGGCCCCTCCTCCTTGCCGCAGCTCCGCCCCCCTCCTCCTCCTCTTCCTCCCTTGGTGATCGCTTTGCATCTGTCTCTAGCAAACCTGATCCATCCCCGCTCACTTTTGTCCGATGGCGCTGCCGAACCAAGCCCCGGCCGAGAGCAGGAATCCGAGGCGGCAGGTATGACGGCGGCGGCTCGGCTGGGAAAGTGGTCCGGGAAGGGAGGAGGGAGCGAAAGGAAAGTTCTGGACGCCGAGAGCTCTCCTGACTGCAGTGAAGCCCTCTCGGAGGGTCAGCGGTACTTTGGCAACACTCAGCCGCAGGGACGCTCCCCCACCCCCGCTTCCCTCCTCCCCCTCCCCGCGCTCCCCGCAGTACGGCGCCTGAAGTTTTCAGCCGCGTCGGGAGATCCTCGTTGTTTTCCTTCCCGCTGAGGACGTTGCCCTAAAGCAGGAGCGAGGGAGAGGAGGCGATGGTTGCGGTTGGCGCCGACGAGGCAGCTTCCCTCGCTCGCCGCCGGAATGACGGTGATGCGGCGGGCAGCCTGGGACAGCCGCTTGCCTTCCTCCGCTCGCTCTTGCGGGTTGCCGGTGTCCCGAGGCCGCTGGTTCGCGACGGTCCCCACTTACCACCCCATCCCCCGGCACATTTAGTTCGAAAGATCGGGCCTCTGCTAGGCAGCGGCTGCCTCCAGCAACTCCTCTGGATTTTCCCCTAGGTGCGTACGTGTGTGTTTCCCCGCACTGGTAGGCAGGTGGTGCATGTGTGTTCCTAATCAAACCGCCTCCCCCCCCCTGTTCCCCCACACCCCTTCTTCGTCGGCCTCTGGCTTCCTCCGTCTCAGGGACCCAGATTGGGATCGCGGCAAGGTTATGTAATGCCGGCTGTTCCGGCTGGTGGGGCTGGGCTGCCTGCCGCTTCGTCGCATGCGCGCACAGAGGGGCAGAGCGGCGAGGGCCAGCCGAGGGTCCAGATAAGCACGTGGCAGGCCGTGAGCGGGGCCACCCACGAGTGCTCCTGGCCCGAGGAGACGCCTCGCCACCAACCCAAGTTTCCTCAGGGTGCCTCAGCTGGGGAAGGCCCCTCTTTCAGAGGTGCCATCAGAGATGCCATCATTGTAGGAGTCCTCGGGGAAGGAGCCCAGAACCCCCCTCTGGCAGAATGAGCGCATCTATTGCAGCAGGACCGGTTTGCTCCCTTACATTTTGAAACCACTGAAGTCCCTGTCTCCGGCGATGTGTTTTGTGTTTTGGGTCAGCTGTGGAAAGTCGAAATTGTTTTTACTCAGGCGGTTTCAGTCTCTCGCCTTAATTTTTTTAAAGTCCCTTCAGTCCCTTCCAGTCAACGGAAGGTTGTTGAAAGAGTTAGATGCCTTAAAGGATGAGGAAGTCGGTTTCTTGCCTTGACTTCTCAGAGAAGGGGGGGGGGGCAAAATAAAAGAGGAGAAAAAGTTCTCGAAACAGGAATGTCCCTGGAGAAATTAGTTCTCAGAAATCCTGAATTTCTTGGGGGAGTTTTAAAGACAACTGCTTGATGTAACTAATATAGTCTTCCTTTCATGCTTGTCTCCAGTGCTTGAGAATTGTACTCGGCTAGAAATTGCTTCCCCAACCTCACATGGCCACTTACTTCCATCCATTTATTAGCGCATCTGAGCAAAAAATAAAAAATAAATGGCTTCATCCTTGGTTTTATGATGCTGTCAAGTCAAATAAAAGTTCTTTATTCTGAGAAACATGCAGTTTATCATCCTCTTCCTTCTAAGGAGAGACAACCAAGGAAGGAAAAAGGAGAGCAGCAAAGTTTCACCTCTTCCCTATGTCCTTTCCCATTCATATTTTCATCCTGTTGGTATGCTTTCCCTGGATTTATCCAGTTCTAAAGTTAGGACTATTCTCCTTTCTCTGATGGGGACTAAAATATCGATGATGTTTCAAAAAATAAGACAGGATATTATTGGGCAACTGAGAAATGATGAGCCACTCCACCAGGAAACTCTTTCCAAGTCTTGCATGTTAAAAAAAAAAAAGCTGGAGCCATCTGAGAGGGATGCCTTCTCTGGTTTGTTGCCGCTGAGAAAATCTGGCATCAGGATACAGGAGAGTTTGCCCTACCATTCCCCATTGACTGGGTGGCAGCTTCTGGAATGTGTCAGAAACATAAGGAATTCTTGGCAGTCTGGAATGATTGCTGCTTAGCCTCTTCACTGCTTTCGGTTCCCTTCTTGATGGCTCTTTTATTCAAGGTCACTGCAGTAATTTCATATGTGGCTTCCTGGTGCTGCTGTCTTATCTACCACACCGTTTCTGTTTTTCTCTCTGCGTTCTGGGAATATTGTGTTCAATAAAACCTGCTGCTTTTAAACACCCTTGGCAGCACTCCATAAGCAAAAACTTCTCTCTTTCCTACCTCTTGTTTCTAGAGCTAAAAATGACAAGTTAACAAGGCTTGTGCTTGCCTTGAAAGTAAGGATTTAGATTCTTCCTAAATTTTGGATGTAGGCAAGCTAAAATTACAAGATATTCTGCACATTCTCAGGGTATAGGAAGAAATCAACACTGCCCATATTCCCAGTGCTCTGCTTTGGTCCATGCTAGTCCAAAGCAGTCCTTACAACAGGGTGGGGGTGGGGGTACCACATTAACTCCTTTATCCCAGTATTTGTTACTAGATCTTATTTTTTTTATTGTGAATGAAGCTCCCTGGGAGGTTTCTAAAATGGATGTGCACTCAATGCTCCTTGTGCCTGGCACTCTTCAAGGAGATGAAACCCAATATTGTCTAGAAAGAAAAATCCTGACCCTACTCCTCAAGTTCCAATGATTATTCTTTAAAAAGCAGTAATAGAGTATTTGCTTCAGAAGGAAGAGGTGGTAGACTTTCTATCATAGCCTTCTAGAAACTCAGATCTCTGGAATTAGCTGTTTACCTTTTCTTTGGTGGGCTGTTGCTCAGCTCATTAAGAGCTGACCTACGTGGCAGCCCACCTCTTCTCATTTGCTTTTTTCTGGGAGCCACCAATATCGCTCGTGAATTCAGTTTGCAACTTAGCTGCTTCTGCAGCCTCAAGTTCTCTCTGCCTCTTTTAGTTGCTCCTCTGGGATTGGCCTTTCAGGTTCAAACTTCAATACTTCACTCCCTTTTCTTCATTTAATTCCCAGCATGCTTAAGGCCAAGGCTTCATTTGGCCTCCAGCTTGTTCTTCAACCCTTTGCCAACATCTTTTGGTATTTTCTGCCATGCTAGCAGGGAAGGAAGCACACATTTCGCATGCAGATTTCTGGAGGTTGGGATAGAGAACCTATCACTTTCCAGATGTGCAATTTCCAAAATGTCTCCAGCATGGGCCTTGATGGCTTGAGATTCCCATGAAGGCCTGCAATATTTCTGTTACTGTATTTTTGGTTTTTTTTTTTTTTT